TTACAACAATGTACAGCAACACAGAAACTGCAGATTCGTTTATCTTCTCAAACAGCTGATGAATTTGTTAGAGCAACTTTCTGAGCTGAATTAGATGAAGATTTAAATCAATGCTTGAGAATGTGCCTACATTGTATTATAAGGGTTTTTTTAATTATAAGATTGTCTATTTTCCTTGAGTGAATTTTCTAAAAATTGCAAAATAATTTGGTTTCATGAATAACACACGGGGCTTTTGAATTCTGATCAATTAACTAAATGAATTTAAAACAAGAAGTCTCTTCCTAGTCTGGCAAGCCTGGTATTTGACTAGAACCTGTGAGACATCTGTGAGAAATCCAATGTCAAACTAAAGTGCATCTGGAAAGGAAGGATAATTGTAATTCTTGAATATGATATCTGAGAAATTAAGTCTGGTTGAGGATGCTATGGAAATTAAAGCTGTAAAAAAAACAAAGCTAACAGCGATATTGAGTTACAGTTTGTGTTCAGTACACACAGGTTGAACTCTCATTGGAAGTTTTGCTCTGCAGCTTTACAAGGAGCAGCATGTGTTTTAAAGCTTTTTAAAAAGGACAGAAGGTTGAATATGGGGGAAGTAGGGATTGTGAATTGGACAAGTCTGCTGCTACTGCTTTAGTTCTGTGAGATTAAACCATTTAACAGGGTTTATTAAAGGGGGGACTCTTAACTATCAAAACTGTTGTGAGCCTAGATAAGGAAATTGCACAGGATGTTAACCATATCAAGGAACTTTTAGATAAACAATAACTCCAGTGAAAATAACTCTAGGGCCAAACTCATTGATGGGAAAAATGTGGAATCCTGCACCCTGATCTGAGATTGCACATAGTGCAAGTAATTGTAGTTTTGTAAAATGTATCTTTGAATGGAGTATTTAAAGTTCAGTTGATTTTTTTTTTCCCCAAGCAAACCCCATTGGTGTGTTGGTGCATACTTAATTTAGTATTTATTTTGGATTTTAACTATTACAGTCAAAGTTTTATACAACAGTTCCTTTCTTCAGGTGTTAGTTGGGGATTTTTTTTTTCAGGTCTGTATGGAGAATGCAACACCAGCTTCTCTTTGTAGCACTTTTTCAATACATTGAGTTGTCAGCTGAAAGCATTGGCTTTGTTTTTGAAACTTGCAGATTACTCTTCGGAAAAATCTTGCAAATAATATTCATTTTCCTTTATTAAATTATCAATTTTAAGATTTTAACCCGCTCTGTCTTGGGGCATCTAGTTTTCTAGAGGTAGGTGATGGGGTCATTGCACTGTTGAGAGCTTTTTGTTTTCAACCTTCAGTTTGTCACTGCAGATTGTTTTAACTATAAGTGAAAGTTTCTAAATTAACAGTCTTAAAACAGAAACTGTATTCTGCAGTACTACAACAGATGATCTTTGAAGAATGACGAAAAGGAGTGCATGGAAAATTTGAAGGAAATGGATAAGATCTCTTTTATATGTGCCTGTAACAATTTTATTGTGATCAACTGCAATTCTTTGTATTGTACTTCCTGTTTCCTGCCACAGGAGGGCAGTTGTAACCTTGTAAATATCATGCAAATTCTGTTTGGATAAAAGAATACATTTCCACATAACATGATACATATAGTGAGAGAAACTGTTACTGATCAAGTTGTACCTAATGATTAAGAACCTCTTCATGAGGTCAAACAAGCAGTGCTCGTAAATAAAGCAGTAAATACATTTTAGGTAGCAAATTGAAATGTTCAGCTGTGTTCTAACTCCTTGCATTTAAGTTTGTTTCATTGTTATTAATTTATCAATATTGCTTTGCACAGAGACTATTGTTATGATCTTGCAGTCAATACTTTGTTTTAAAACAAGTCACAAACGGAGTATTAAAATGGCTGCTGCAAAACATGTGACCATTGACATTTGAGCTTCAGACAGTCCCAAGTCCAAAGTAAATACCTAATTAAATGTGGACATTCAGCATGTGAACAAATTACTCTGTTTAGGGATTGATCTGCACAAAATTGCAGCCAGTTCCATCCTTCTCTTTTTGGACAGGATGAATTAGAACATCAAAGCTTTCAGTGAAGATGTGTATAAGAAGGATATGAAGGGATCCTATCAACCTTCTGTTGTATTATGATATTTTCCTCACACAAACCGGACTGGATGAAAAGGTATTAAACAACAACATAGGATTTTAGAGTACACCACAGGCCACTGCTTTGTTTGGCAGGTGGGGGGAGGTGGGGAGAAAGACGAAAAAAAAACTTTGAATTTATATAAGTTATATGATGACCATCAGCAAGACATCCTAATAGGAGACACCACCTCCCCTGAACCTGTTCCAACTTTGGTTCATCGATGAACCAATCTAGAAATTTAAGGAACCTGAAAGTCTATTGAGAATCCTTCGCTATATGATACCCTCACTTCTAATTTAAAACACCAAAACCATCTAAGACTACAGTCCTGCCACAAAAGACACTAGGATCATTACATTCTGTAACATTATTTGGTTTCATATGTGTCAAAACTTTATGTGCATGTGAGACAAATGAGTGAAACTGCATCATTTTTGGGGTAGTTGTGTGAGAATAACTTTTTTTTGTCTTTAAACTCAAGTTTGCTGACAAACTTATTTAATTATGATACTGGGTCTGGGGGTAGTAAAGGGAGCACATATGCTGTCCATGATGCTGTTAAATTCATTTTTACACTGAATCTGTTGCATTAACTTGGTCTTTTCCACTTTTCCAGATATGTGTCCTGTGTCCTTGGCTGTCCTTATGAAGGAAATATCTCCCCAACTAAAGTTGCAGAGGCATGTACGATGGGAGTTGGGGAAAAGAATGAACAGATTGAAATTTACAGAAACATTTTTTCTTATACTGTAAAACTAGTCAACATTTTGGTAATAAATCTCAATGTATGAAATGGATATTGAGCCATGAAAATTAACTAAATGTAAAAGCAGATGTGCTAATGTTCCTCCATAATTTAACTATTTTCTACATTAAAATTGTGTGTACATCGCTAAATGTTAAGATGCATGTAGAATTAAACACTATTAGCCTTGCAACTGACTACTTTTTGTTTTACAGGTGGCCAAGAAACTCTATTCCATGGGTTGTTATGAGATATCCCTGGGGGATACCATTGGTGTAGGAACACCAGGCAGCATGCGAGAAATGCTGACAGCTGTAATCAAGGAGATTCCAGTCAGTGCATTAGCTGTACATTGTCATGATACTTATGGCCAGGCTCTTGTCAATATTTTTGCAGCATTACAGGCAAGTTTTTTTTTTCAAATTAAGACTTTTTTCGTGGATTTTGTTTTTAATTGAGGCTTGAGTTTTAGTAAAATTGCTTTGATAAACTGAGTTTCAGCAGATTACATGTGGTGGATTTCACAGTTCTAACACTAACTGAAATATAACTGCTATTCATATGATTTGAGCTACAATACCTGTGGCTTTGTCAGCTTCTGCATGCAGTTACCTGTCCACAGGTTTACATTTGATTCAATTAGATATCTGGGTTGCAGCGTCAGTACCATAATTATTTGAACATTTTCTGACTTAGCAAATACTTCTGATAACACCCTATATGCAACATTAATAATACATGCACTGAGTGCTGATTTTAATCAGTGCAGCATTGACCAGCCTCTACAAACAATGCGCATTTTTAAATATCATTTTTTTTCTTCCTGCTACTCAATTTTAGTTAGCTTGATTTTCTTGGGATAAAAACTGACCACTTCATATCTGTAGTCTTAATTTTTTTGAAATCTTTAATGTGTTGATGCTAACTAAGATGTTCAAATGATTTCGAAAGTCAAAAAGTCTGAACTGGTTTATATTGACAGTCTGTTGCCCTACAAAGAAAACAGAGAGATGGGCAAAAATTTTTTTAGCTGAGAGAATGATATTGAAAAAGAAACTTTGGAATGCATCAATAATATTTTTAATAAAAGACTTTCCTTTGGAATTTTTTTTAAAATTCTTTTGGAATGAATGTAAATAAATGTCTGGGACCTGACCAGATGGTTCCCAGAACTTAGTGGGAAACTCGGGAAGAGATTGCTGGGCCCCTTGCTGAGATATTTGTATCATCGATAGCCATAGAAGAGATGCCGGAAGACTGGAGGTTGGCTGTTGTGGGGGTGCCACTATTTAAGAAAGGCTGCAAGGAAAAGCCAGGGAACTATAGACCGGTGAGCCTACGTCAGTGATGGGTAAGTTGTTGGAGGGGATTCTGAGGGACTGGATTTACATGCATTTGGAAAGATAAGGACTGATTAGGGATAGTCAACATGGCTTTGTGGGTGGGAAATCATGTTACACTAACTTGATTGAGTTTTTTGAGGATGACTGATGAATGCAGTGTGGTAGACATTGTCTATATGGACTTCAGCAAGGAGTTTGACAATATTCCACATGGTAGACTGGGTAGCAAGGTGTAATCCAGTGGAGCTAACCAACTGGATACAAAATTTGCTTGAAGATAGGAGACGGTGATGGTAGAGGATAGTTTTTCAGACTTGAGGCCTGTGACCAATGCTGTGCTACAAGGATTAATATGGAGTCCACTGCTTTTTGTTATTTATATAAATGATTTGGATCTGAATATTGGACGAACGGTTAGTAAGTTTGCCGATGACACCAAAATAGGTGGTGTAATGGAGAGTGAAGAAGGTCATCAGAGTACGATGGGCCAGTGGGCCGAGAAGCAGCATACAAAGTTTCATTTAGATGAATGTAAGGTGCATTTCAGTGAGGCAAACCAGGCCAGGACTTGCACGTTTAATGGTAGGGCTCTAGGGAGTGTTGCTGAACTAAGAGACCTAAGGATACAGGTGCATAGTTCTTGAAAGTGTGGTCACAGGTAGATAAGTTGGTGAAGAAGGCATTTGGCATGCTTGCCTTCATTGTTCATAACACTGAGTATAGGAATTGAGACATCACTTTGTGACTGCACAGAACATTGGTGAAGCCACATTTAGAATACTGCGCATAATTCTAGTTGCCCTCCTATAGGAAGGATGTTGTTAAACTTGAGAGGGTGCAGAAAAAATTTACAAGGATGTTGCTGGGACTGGAGGGTTTGAGTTCTACGGAGAGGTTGAATAGGCTAGGGCTGTTTTCCCTGGACTGCAGGAGGCTGAGGGGTGACGTTATAGAGGTTTATAGAATTATGAGGGTCAAGGAAAGGGTGTCTATCCAAGCTCTTTTTCCTAAGGTGGGGGAGTCCAAAACAAGAGGGCATAGGATTAAGATGAGAGGGGAAAGACTTAACAAGGAACTTTTTCACGCAGAGGGTGGTGTGTGTATGGAATGAACTGCCTGAGGAAGTGGTGGATGTGTACAACTACAACATTTAAATGGCATCTGGATAGGTACACGAATAGGAAGGGTTTAGAGGGATATGGGCCAAATGCTGGCAAATAGGACCATGTCAGATTGGGATGTCTGGATGAGTTGAACCGAAGGGTCTGTTTCTGTGCTGTTTGACTGTATGTATGACTGGAAAACAGTGGGGACAAAGTATGGAAATGCAAAAAAAAAAGTTGAGAAATTCCTTTATGCCATTGCTCACAGTACTGCAGAATGTGTGCAAAAATTGAATGTTAGCAATAGCTTAATGGGTTCAAAACATAAACTGAAACCTAAGAATGTCCTAGTGGAATGAGATGTAACTGGCCATGCTGTACCTATCTGTAAATGATGTACTAGCATCTGCCTAACAAGGTAGAAAATTGCCCATTATAACCTGTCCACAAAATGCATATCATAGTCTCAATCATCAGCAATGACCATTTCCGACGAGTGAGAATCCAACTGTCTCCCTTTGACATTCAGTGACATTCTCATCAAAATCGTGGAGGGTTACCATTGTCCACAAACATTGCTGAATCAGCCACCACACACAAATAGTTGGATAGGCAGGTTGTGAGAAGAATACAAACAGTTTAGAGACATATTGTTAGGTTGGATAAGTGGGCAAAAAAATTTGGCAAATGGAGTATAATGTGGGAGAATGTGAAGTTGTTCATTTTCAAAGGGAGGACAAAAGAACACTATTATTAAAATGGAGAAAAACTACAGAAAGCTGCAACTCAAAGGGACTTGAGGGTATTTGTGCATGAAACACAAGGTTAGCACACAGGTGTAGCAGGTAATGAGGAAGCTAATGGAACATTGGCCATTATTTCAAGGGCCTGGAGTATAAGAGTAGGAAAGTCTTACTGTAACTGTACAAGGAGCTGGTAAGACGATATCTGGACTACTGTGAGCAGTTTTGGTCCCCTTTGTTTAAGAAAAGATTCCATTTCTTTGGAGGCAGTTCAGAGAAGATTCACCACGATGATCCCTAGTGTAGAAGATTGCCTGATGAGCAGTTAAACAGTTTGGGACCATGTCCATTAGAATTTACAAGAATGAGAGGTGATCTAATTGAAACATAGGATTCTAAAGGGGATTGACAAGGTAAATGCTGAGATCTTTCCCCTCATGGGAGAGTCTAGGACCAGAGGACATGGTCTCAGAATTGAGGGGTGCCAATTTAAGATGGAGAAAAGGAGAAATTTCTTGAGGGTTGAGAGTCTTTGGAGCTCCTTGCCACAGGGAGCAAGGGGTGGAGTCCTCTTGTATATTTTAAGGCTGAGCTAGATGAATTATTGATCATTAGGAAAATCAAAGGTCATGGGGGAAAAAAGTAGGAAAGTGAAAATGAGAATTGTAGGATTAGCCATGATCCTATTGAATGGTGGAGCAGGCTCAGCGGTTAAATGGCCTTCTGTTTCTGTTTTGTATGGTCTTACAGTCTTGTACTGGAGCAACAACTACAAGTTAAAGGCTGAAAATCTGAGGCGAGTAAGTCCTCTCCTGTCTCCCCAAAACATGTTAATCTGCCTTATTTATAATACTCTTTGCATTGAAGTGTAAACAGCTCAAACCCGTAAATTTCCTGTGATGAAGTCTTTTTAATCTTTGTTTCTTTTGTCTTTGAGTTGCTGACTACATCTTTTAATGTTCTACCTCCCATTTCCTGGTCTGAATCTGACCATCTAAAGCCATGCTTTGGTTCCCATCCATTATGACATTTCCTATAATGAAGGTGAATTAAACTGTATATCCCCTACACCCTCAAACAATGACTAAGAAAGCAATATAAGACATGCAGTTTGGGTAACAGGTTTTTGTTGATTTCTTTTTTCTTCCATGTGACGTTCAGTTGTCTCCATAATCTTGATTAACCTTGATATACAAGGCTGGCTGCACAGTAATTTAAGTATTCTTCTAATCTGGAGTTTTCAATTTGTTTTTCAGATGGGAATTTCAACAGTGGACTCATCAATAGCTGGCTTGGGTGGCTGTCCTTATGCACAAGGTGCATCTGGAAATGTGGCAACTGAGGATGTAGTGTACATGTTGAATGGGCTGGGAATTCACACTGTATGTATCACTTGAGGGAACTATTTCTGTTCTAACTTTAATGTTGTTATCTGATGTCTGTAACAATCAAAAGAAGGATTAACCCAGTGAAATTTAATTCTTCAGCTCAGTAACAGCAAACTGTAATAAAAAGATTTTTCTAATTTTATGTAGCTTTGTCTGAAAGCCCATTGCCATTAACTAGGGTCTTCAGTTGTTCACTTGCATCTGCAGTGTCATTCCTTACAATACCCTGATGTAATTCTGCATGAAGTTCGTTATCCCGTTTTTCCCAGTTCTCCCACTAGCCACCTGGCTGAGCCTGTCATTGTAGCATTTAGATACTGAAATTGAGAAACTTAGTATCTTTTACTCTGGGAGACCAAACTGGCATTCATCAGAGGAGGGACTTGAAACTTGACGGAGGGGAGTAGTTTATAAACACAATTTAATTAAGAGCCTAGAAATTTCTGACTGATATTCAGAAGTTTTAGACATAATTTATTTTCTGGTTTACATACTATGAGAGAATGTCAGGTGGTGAAAGGGAGCAACAATGATATTTTAAATAAACTGTAAACTAATTAGGTGGGATTTAACCAGATGGATTAGCTTAGATAACAAAGCCAACTATTGACCAACCAAATGATTTGGATTGGATGTCACTGAATGAGGAAGATTAGTTTAAGCCAATAGACAAACCAATAAATGTCAAATCTTGTGAACCTGGGTGCATTGATTAATTGGGACAAAACAAAAGATTAAATTTCATATTTTGTTGTTCTCCCTTTTTATACATGTAAAGTCACCTTGTTTGCTGTATCAGTTGTAAATATTATTATTATTTTGATACAAATGCTGCATACATACCCATGTGATATTTTCATGAGCTTGAGTACAATAGATGCCACAGCATACTTCGTTCAGAGTTACCTTAGGTTTAATTGGCTGAATACCTTTTGGCATAGTGTGTAACTTGAGGCAAAATGTGTCAGTGCAGGCTTGGAGGACCAAAGGGCCTGTTCCTGCGCTGTATCATTCTTTGTTCTTTGTATAACTTTAAGTATAGCATGTATGGGAGGAGAAAGATAATTCTGGCCTTATAATTCTCAGATCTCTCTGTCACTAGGGCTACCCTGATTAATCAGAAATTGCAATATTTTATTTTGTGCAACAACCACAGTGGTAGAAGTCAAACTAAATTAATTTTGGTCTTTGTCCTCAAATATTATGATTTAACGCAACATTTTTTTAACTCTATTTTCTAGGGAGTGGATCTGCATAAGTTATTGGACGCTGGTGGATATATCTGCAGAGCCCTAAATAGGAAAACCAGCTCTAAAGTTGCTCAGGCTTCTTGCAAATTGTAGTAATCAGTAAACTGTTATATACGACTGAATGGATGGAAGAATAGACAAGTACTGTAAACATTTTCCACCCTACACTTCCCTGTTGTAATTCCTGAGTGTAATATTGGGCTGATTCTGAAACGTATTTGTTTAATCACTTGTTTCTCTTAAAGACCTTCAAACATCATCTGTTCATTATCTGTGCTTTTTCCCAAAATGCCCCTTGTAATTACCTAAAGATTTTCCTTCCATATTCCAAGTTGTTTCATCTCTTGCACTTAAGGTCAACAACCGAGTGCTTTTGCAAAGGCTGTACTGAGCTAACTCCTTTCTGGATGGCATGGTGGCTCAGTGATTAGCACTGTTGCCTCACAGCACCAGGGACCTGGATTTGATTCCAGCCTTGGGTGACTGTCTGTCTGGAGTTTGTATGTTCTCCCCACGTCTGTGTAGGTTTCTGCTGTGTGCTCCAGGTTCCTCCCACAGTCTAAAGATGGTGCAGGTTAGGTAGATTGTCCCGATGTGCAGGCTAGATGGATTAACGATGGTAAAATGGGGTTTTGGGGATAGGGGCTGGGGCTGGGGCTGGGCCTGGGCCTGGGTGGGATGCTCATCGAAGGGTCATTGCATACTCGATGGGTCGAATGGCCTTTTTCTGCACTAAGGATTCAGTGATTCTACGCCAAATGTGTAAAGTTATCAGAAAATTTTCACATGTATTTTAGATTCTGAAAGTATTGATATTTTTCATTGATCCAATTCTCAATAATTTTCCTCTTGATCCAAAAATAAAATTCTCAAAGCATTTCTGTATTTTCAGAGTTGACTGTAGTAATTTTTCTAAAGTTATAAATGAATGAGGAAACTGAAGAAAATTAAACAAATATTGTTATATTTTAATGTGTTAAAATGAACATTAGTTTTTTTTGTATGGCTAATCAGTTAAACAATTTTCAAATTACAGAAAATATTACTGGAATTTTTAAAAAATATGTATTAATGGAATTCTGATGCAAAGCTTTCAGATATTTTGATGTGATTTATACAGAAATTGCTGTACTTCTATAGTCTGAAGTGGAAATTGAATCAGTAGCCCTAACTGATATCATATGATTCAGTCACAGAAACCTGCTATCTTATTGCACTGAGACAACCAAAATGTTGTCAAAAATGTTAGCACATTTTGAAATTTCCATACAACATTTTCCAGTTTAAAAAGCACCTACTAATTGTGGATGGTGTACATTTTACCACTTTAATTTAGCCAGCGGTTGGAAAAATGGCAGAAGAGATAACAAGGTGTAGAGCTGGATGAACACAGCAGGCCAAGCAGCATCAGAGGAGCAGGAAGGCTGACATTTCGGGCTGAAGTATAACTCAACTAATGAAGGAACTTTCAATTCCTCAATGATATTTTACTAGAAGGGCACTCTCTTTGGTCCTTTAATAGTGTTCATGTGCCACAGTGGTGCTGACTGTCTTAAAAACGTAGAACTGTTTTGAACTGATGAATGCAGTTATCACAACGGTGTTTTGATTTTACATGTTCTATTTAGTGCATTCATTCTAATTTATTTTGAATTTTTTTTTTGCGTTCATGCGATGTGGGCTTTGCTGGCTAGGCCAGCATTTATTTCCAGTTCCTATTTGTTTTTTGAAAGATAATGATGAGCTGCCTTCTTGAACCATTGCTGTGCATTTGATGTAGGTACACTCACAATACCATTAGGAATGTAGTTATGGGGTTTTGACCCAATGATACCACAAGAATAGTAATATATTTCCAAGTCAGAATGGTGGAATGGCTTCGAGGGGAACTTGCAGTTAGTGGTGTAATAGGGCAGGAGATGAGTGGCCCTAGCAGAACTCACTCGTGTTCAGTTTGGGCAGATTATTCTAAGCAAGTACTGCTTGATAGTATTGTTGATGACACGTTCCACCAGCTTACTGATAATTAGGGACATGGATGGGGCAGTAATTGGTTGGGTTGGATTTGTCCTTTTTTTTCATCTTTGTATAGGGACAGACATGGGTAATCTTTCACTATGCTGGGTAGATGCCAGTGTTGTAGCTGCAGTGGAACAGATTGAGTCAGGGTGCAGCAAGTTCTGAAGCAAAGGTCTTCAGTACTGTTGCTGGAAGGTTGTCAGGATCCATTGCTTTGTCATTTCTTAATATCACATGGAGCAAATTAAATTGGCTAAAGTCTGACCTGTGACACTGGGGATCATGGTGGAGGCCCAGTTAAATCATCTGCTTGATCTGTCTGGTTGCAGATTGTTGCGAATGGTTCAGGCTTATCTTTTACACTGATATGTTGCGCTCCCCCATTATACAGGATGGGAATATTTGTGGAACTTTCTCCTCCAGTGAGCTGTCTTACTGTCCTGATTTCATGGATGTGGCAGGACTGCAGACCTTGGATCTGATCTGTTCATTGTGGAATCACTTTGCCTTGTCTATCTCTTGGTGCTTATCTTATTTGTTATGTGAGCAGTTTTGTGCTTTATCTTCACCAGGTTGACACCTCGCTTTTAACACAGTGGTAGTGCAACACAGTATGATGGCTGGATTCTTTGTGGTGTGAGGACAGGACTTTGACTCCACAAAGATTACATAATGGCCGTTCCTACTGATGCTGTCTTGGACAATGCATTTGTGGCAGGCTGATTGGTGAGAATTAGATTATGTATGCTTTTCCCTCTGGTTAGCTCTTTCACCACCTGCTCCAGACGATCTGGCAACTATATACTTTTGGATTTTGGTCAAAAGCTGTGCTGCTGAGCCATTATTGGTGATGCACATTAAAGTCCCCCACTCCGAGTACATTCTGTTTCCTCGCCACCCTCCGTGATTCCACCCAATAGTGTTCAACATGGATGATGATTCTTCAGCTGAAGAGGTGTGAGGGAGCATGGCAATAAGCAGGAGGTTTCCTTGCCTATGTTTGACCTGATACAGTGAGATTTAATGGGGTCCAAAGTCAATATTGTGGGTTGTCAGGGCAACTCCCTCTTGACTGTGCAGTACTGTGCCACCACCTGTGCCTTTGGGGCAGGACATAACCACGAATGGTGGTGATGTTGTGCTGGAATATTGAGGGTTATGGATATGACTGTGTCAGGCTAGTGCATGACTAATCTGTGAGACACTCCTCAATTTTGACACTAGCCTCCAAATGTTAGTAATACAGATAATGTTAGCATAATGTAATCTTAGAGATGGTAGCATAATACGTTACTATACTAGTAAACCAGCGTCCTTGTCTAAGAATCCAGACAAAGTAATTTCCAATCTCATCGTGCAGTTTTTGAATTTGAATTCAATTAAAATAATCTTTCTCTGAAAATAGAGCTACCATCAGTTATTTTAAATGATCATGGAGCTGACATGTTGTTAAAAAGAATTATCTGTTAGGGAAGAAAACCAGCAATCCTTGCCCAGTCTGGTGCTAGATTGATGACTTATACTACGTCAAATTTTGCATGCATTTGGAAGGGACTTTCAAACCCTTACAAAAGCAATATATTACATGCATTTATTTAGCTCTTTCATGGTCATTGGATGTCGCAAAGTCCTTTCATTGCCAATCAAATTGGAGTTTGGAGTTTGAAGTTTGAGTAACACTGCTACCTTCTCAGGACAACTAGAGATGGTTAATAATTGGCCCTTGACACTATATTGATACCATATCCTAAAAAATATTTTTTTCTTTATTTTTAACGGGATGAGGGTGTCGCTGATCAGGCAGCATTTATTGCCCAGAGGGCAGTTCAGAGTCAACCACATTGCTGTGGGTCTGGAGTCACATGTCAGCCAGACCAGGTGAGGATGGCAGTTTCCTTTCCTAAAGGACATTAGTGAACCAGGTGGGTATTTCCGACAATGGCAATGGATTCATGGTCATCATTAGATTCTTAATTCCAGATATTTTATTGAATTCAAAGGTCCCCAGAATGTTATCTAGGTCACCGGATTAACAGGATAATACCACTAGGCCATTGCCTCCCCTTGGAGAATGAACTTGGAAAGGATTGCATTGTTTTAAAATGAAAACTGAAAAATTAAGAGCACTATTTATGACTTCAAACATTGACCCAACAATTCAGTACTCCAATACATTTTTACCTTTGGTATATTTTAGAGCTGATTAAAAACAGTTTAAATTAAAATTTTAAAAGATTCAAGAAAATGAAGTACAACTAATGTCTGAACCCTCAACCAGTAAAACAGCATTTATTTGAATAAATTGAAGAAAACATTTAAATTTCTTATGCAAAAATATTTGTTGCACTTGAATTCAGTAGACTGTTAATGGCTTGCCTTAGCTACATTTTTAAATTGCTTTATGTGATGAAAGTTGTGTAATACATATTATCATCATTCAACATTGGATTGTTTTAAAGAGATGCAGATGGATGTCGGTTACTGTTGTGAGATTTTGTTTCAAGTCAGCAGAATCATTCTGGAGTGACCTAAATCCAGAATTGCTCAAAGTAAGTGACTGCAAACCTCGGTGGTGTTAATGGAAATATGTTTATACTTCTGAGTTTATGACAGACAGATCAAGCCAAAACTGTTTTCACTTCAGTTAATGACAACTAGAATGAAGATCAAAGGGAAGTTTTTACTGTCTCTCCTAGCAAGATTAGGGTTCACTTCTGGGAAGCCAGTCACTCTTGGCAGAAGAGTCTTAAATGTGCAGCTTTCAGACCAGAAGAGTTTGGACAGCAATCTGCAAGTGATTAGAAGGAAAACAGTTTAAGATCTCAGGTTTGTAAAGAATTAATTTCAGCCAATGCTGAAGGGAAATCATCAAATATTCTCTGCAGTGCAAAGAGATGATCTGGAAAGCAGTCAATATAGAAACCTAAAGTGTTGAATAGGAGTGTAATTTCTCTGGTCTTGAGACTCTAATTTAATGGTGTTGGGAAATAGGTTGTAATTTCTTCGATGTTTGTATTAAGATCTTTCCAAACGTGTAATGTATTTATAGAGAGAGAGCTTTGATTTTATTTTATTTTATTTTCTTTTTGTGTAATAAATTTGTTGTTGTTTAAAAAACATTTGCAGCATCATGTAAAAAAAGTTTGACTAACCAACATATTAACTAACAGCAAAAAAAAATTTAAAATATGATCTATCAAGCCAAATTTCATGCTCCTTTCCTCCAGATGCTGCTTGACCTCCTATGTTCTTCCAGCCTCCTGTTTGTTAACCTTTAATTCCAGGATCTGACTTGTCCACTAGTACCATTAGTTGGAATCATAACACTTACACAACAAAAACCAGGAATAATGTTTTACATGTCAGATTCTTAATTACAGTTGCCTATAACTCCGTAAACAGGTTAAAGAGATTATAATTTTGACCATTTGAACATGTATTTGAATGTGTACTGTGTTTTGATAGTCAGTGATATACATTAAATTTAACATATAATATGAAATATAGAATCATACAGCAGAGTAACAGGCTCTTCAGGCTAACATATCCGTACCAACCATGATGGCATTCTAAACTAATCACATCTGCTTACTGATATATCCTTCTATTCCCTGTCTGTTCAGGTGTCTGCCTAAATGCCTCTTAAACTAGGGTATCTGCTTCTACCACCTACCCTGGTGGTGCATTCTTGGCATCTACCATCCTGTGTTTTTTTTTTTAAAAACTTGTCTGTCACATCTTTTAAACTTTCCCCCTCTCTCCTTAAACCAAGTGTTCTTCCCCATTTCCCCTTTAGTATTTGACATTTCCACCCTGGGAAAAAAGACTCATTCACCTTATCCATGCCCCTCATAATTTTATATACTTTCATTAGGTTGGCTCTCAGCCTCTGACACTCAAAAACAATCCAAGTTTATCCAACCACTCTTCGTAGCTAATACTGGAAATGCTCA